GCGTGCCCCCTGATCTACCGACCCGTGTGTGATAACAACGGCAAGCAATACTCCAATGAATGTGAACTTAACATCGCTATTTGTCACGACTCCTCCATCACGCCTGGAACCTGTCGTAAGTTAACATTATATAAAAAAATAACTTGGGAAATTTTTTTAGTAATGTGATTTGTGTATCATTTTTATACAATATCTCGTTCGGTGATTAAAGTGAGTTATGTAATTGCTGAAAAAATAACCCCGAGTAATATACATATATACATATATACATACACACATACATACATACTTACATACATACATGCATACATACATACATACACACATACATACATACATACATACATACATACATACATACATAAGAACATAAGAACATAAGAATGGAGGAAACTGCAGCGGGCCTATTGGCCCATACTGGGCAGTCCCGTTTACACCCAACCCCTATTGCTCATATGAGCATCCAACCTATGTTTGAAGCAATTCAGCGTATTCGAGTTAATGATGATATTTGGTAACTTGTTCCATTCATCCACTACTCTGTTTCCAAACCAGTGTTTACCTATTTCACGCCTAAATCTAAATTTGTCTAATATAAAACCATTGTTACGAGTTCGCTCCTGGTTGGATAATTTGAGTACCTTTGTAATGTCCCCTTTGTTTAGCCCTGTCTTCCACTTATACACCTCTATCAGGTCGCCCCTCGCTCTACGTATCTCGAGGGAGTGCAAATTAAGATGCTTTAACCTGTCTCTATACTCAAGGTTCCTAATGCCCGGGATTAGTCTTGTCATTCTCCTCTGAATTCTTTCCAAGGATTCTATATCCATTCTGTAATACGGTGACCAGAACTGAACTGCGTAATCCAGGTGTGGTCTCACAAGAGCAAGATACAGTTTTAGGATGACCTCGCTAGTCTTGTAACTAACACTCCTTTGTATGAACCCAAGTACTTTACTAGGGTCAGAGTTTACATTAGTTAGTTGGTTAAAATTTTCCTCTAGACTCATGTAATAATAATAATAATTAACGGTTTATTAAGATAACATGGCTGCCCGAAGGCTGAAAATATACAAGGAACAGAGAGGATAAGATACCTCTGGTGGAATCGGGGAGTGAGTCACTTGATTGACGAAAGATTTCAATACAGAAACATAAGAAACATAGAGTCAACATATAGATTAACTGTGGGAGCTGGTACTGTGGGAGCTGGTACTGTGGGAGCTGGTACTGTGGGAGCTGGTACTGTGGGAGCTGGTACTGTGGGAGCTGGTACTGTGGGAGCTGGTACTGTGGGAGCTGGTACTGTGGGAACTGGTACTGTGGGAGCTGGTACTGTGGGAGCTGGTCTGTAGACATTCTTGTGACCTGATGTCGGCGCCAACAAGGGCCTTCCCACTGTCTTGATGGCCGTTGTACCTGCCTGCTAAGCCGCTACCTCACTACAGCTGCAGTTGTAAGTCCTCCAGCTGACACAGGGTGTTGGAGACGGTTCTTGTTCCTCATTTGATGTAGTTAGGAATTCGTAGTTCCTCACCCGGGTGGCGTAGGGAGTCCTCATTTCCCTCCTGGTGTAGTTTGGAGAGTTTCTTGGCTTCTCATCCAGTGTTGGTGGTGGCGAGTGTACGGTGGACCCTGGGTGTGTCAGGTCAACATTGGCCGCTAAGTGCTGATTGTCGCTCTAACAGTTGTTTCTTCCTTTCGAGTTGAAATTGTCACTTTTGTATATCAGTTGTGGGTTGGTCGTCAATCTTTGCACTGTACTGCTGGTGGGAGGATGTTGATAAATCCAGGTGGGGAGGCGGAGATGGGGAAGGGGAGGGCCCGACAGACCGGGCTGGCAGCTGTCTCCATGGTCAAGAGACTATGGCCGCGTCAGCGGGCAGCGCCGACTACACACGTCCTTACCCTATGAAGGCTGAAGGAAGTATGTATGTATGTATGTATGTATGTATGTATCCATGTATGTATGTATGTATGTATTAATTTATTCATATTTTGTTTCAGATGGCCAAGGTGAAAAGAATGGTTGAGAAAACGTGACAACAGGAGCCAACACCATCTGACAACACCACCTGACAACACCATCTGACAACACCACCTGACAACACCATCTGGTAACACCACCTGACAACACCATCTGACAACACCTACCACCACAACAATGGCTCACTCAAGAGAAATGAAAATAAATTTTTTTCACCAGTTTAATGTGTCATCTCTGATATATTATGTATTTCACCTTGCATTAAATAACTAAGATACATATTAACTCAAGATACAGGGAAGAGGATACAGTGTATGTGTCTTTATTCTATTAATACATTTACCTGTAATTGATGTATTTGTACCTGTGTTTACCTGTTGTATGTAAATTACTATGATCAGTTTTATCTGAATATTGTAATTTTCCTAGTTTTGTTTTGTACTGTATTTTATCTACTTTTATCTGTATTCCTCAAATTATTATCTGTAATATTGTATTCTTCATCAGGTTTTGCTTTATATTACAGTGTACAGGTAATGCCTTAAAAACCCGGAGAAAAACGGAAAATAAGTGAGTTTTCTTTTATCACGGAGCTGCATCAAAACAACAACAAAGACGAAATTTTCAAAGATTTCCGGTAATTTCTCGTAAGATAAGAATAAAGGAATTAAAAGAATTGAATTAAACAAAAAACAGAAGAATAAACTATAAAAATGTATTAATTATTGCTCTGAGACTCTACCTTAATATCATTTAAATGGAGTTAAATTCTGCTACAAGGAAAAAATTCAACACACGAGTCTTTAAGAAACTTGAATAATTATATGAGATTTTGTATTTGATGTCTGAATATATTGTAATTATTCTATAAAATGAATAAATAAGTTTCACTTCAGAAGAATTACCAACTAGGGTATTATTCACATTTAACGACGGGAATGCTGAAGGTTAAAGTTTACATATCTCCCTTAATATTCCTCTAATACATCTGAAATTCATTATGAGTAAATAAATCTGGGTAAGAAAGATTTGTTTTTTTATATATGCCGCATTTAATAAGCACAATAAGAATTAGAAGCTATTGGTAGAATTTCATAAGTCTACCACTAAATAATTTTCATTTTCTATTAAATTATATTAAAGAAAATTTTTAAATTACAGGGTAAACTAATAAATTAATTACTAAATTCCCCTTCTCTCTGACTTACACACTCTCTCTCTCTTCAACGCTCGTATTGACGCTAAATAAGGCTGGCGATCGTTCGTCTAACTTCCTTAAGCATGTTAGTACAAGATGAGGGACAGTTAAGTCAAGCGTTCCTCATCGCTCGCACTGCCGTAAAGAATCCACTCAAGGGAAATCACAGACAATAAGACACGGCTGTAAAACACGACCTAATGTGTGTGTGTGTGTGTGTGTGTGTGCGTGTGTGTGTGTGCGTGTGCGTGTGTGTGTGTGTGTGTGTGTGTGTGTGTGTGTGTGTGGCTTTAGATTGACAGTAGTATTGGGTGTTAGTTAGGAGATAAAATGAATATATAGAATCTATATATTATCCTTCACACACACACACGCACACGCACACGCACACACACACACACACACACACACACACACACACACATCAAAGTTCGTAATTTAACCCCAAAAATCTAGAAAAAAATAAACATCGAAATCATATTTTTTGGGTAAAGTTCTTGTGATTTTTTTCTGTGATAAGTTATGCTGTTGATAGTTTCTTGTCTCCTCTCTCTATCTCTCTCTCTCAATTACTCTCTCTGTCTTTCTCCCCATCTCTCTCTCTTTCTTTCTCTCTCAATTACTCTCTCTCTCTCTCTCTCTCAGGTGCCAAAATTTCCCTGGAGAGTTGGGTCAGTAATTAACGCGGAAATGAGTTCTACCACACGAAGGAAGGAGGGAAGGAAGGGGGGGACGGAGAGGGAAGAGAGGAGAGGAGAGAAGGGAAAGATAGAGAGAGGGGAGGATAAGAGGGAGAAGAGGAGGAGGAGAAGAAGGAGGGATGGAAAGAGAGGTAGAAAAAGGAGAGGGGAAAGGGAGAGGGGAGGGAGAGAGGGTGAGAGGAAGGAGGCAGAGAGGAGAGGGAGAGGGCTGAAAATGGGTTCAGGTATTGGACCAAAGAGACACTCCCTTTAAAGGAGGAGGAGGAGGTGAGGGGAGGAGGAGGAGGAGGTGAAGGGGGAGAGAGGAGGAGGAGGGAAGGAGGGAAGGGGAGGAGGAGGAGGAAGGGGGAAGGGAGGAGGAGAGAGGAAGAGAAGGAGGAGGAGGTGGAAGGGGAAGGGAGGAGGAGGAGGTGGGGAAGAGGGAAGGGGAGGAGGGAGAGGAGGGGTGGAAGGAGGAAGGAGGAGGAGGAGGAGGTGGAAGGGAAAGGAGGAGGAGGAGGAGGTGGAAGAGGGAAGGGGAGGAGGAGGAGGAGGAGGAGGACACGGTTTTGGTTGGATTTGAATTGGAGGAAGAAGATGAAAATAAGGAAGACAAAAAAGGAGAAGGAAGAGGAAGAGGAAGAGGAGTAAGAAGAGGAGGAGAGAGGAAGAGCAGGAAGGAGATGAAGCACCTCGTTTTCTCCTTTCTCTAAATATAATCAAGAGATAATAAAAAAAGGTTTGGAACGACAGATAAATGATGAGGAGAAATAGAGAGAATAGGACGGCTGTCCCTGAATAGACGGGGTTTAACGTCCCCTGAATAGACGGGGTTGTAGACGTCCCCTGAATATGCAGACGTCCTGAACAGACGTTAGACGCCCCTGAATAGACAGTTTTAGACGTCCCCTGAATAGACGTAGTATGACGTCCCCCTGAATAGACGGGGTGTGTAGACGTCCCCTGAATAGACGGGGTTGTAGACGTCCCCGAATAGATGGGGTTGTAGACGTCCTGAATAGACGGTGTGACGTCCCCTGAATAGACGGGGTAGACGTCCCCTGAATAGACGGGGTTAGACGTCCCCTGAATAGACGGGGTTTAGACGTCCCCTGAATAGACGGGGTTGTAGACGTCCCCTGAATACGCCATCAGACGATAGGATGACCAGGGTGATGACAATGCAAGCAGGCGGTAGACCTCCACAAGATCTCCTTGACTAACTCGCACGCCGCCATCCCGAAGCACAGGCCGGCCAACATAAGACCCAAGGGGAAAGAAGGGAAGCTCAAGCAACACACGGCTCCACACATAATCTGGGCACCTGTGTAGCTTGGTGGCTGTTGAGCGGGTTTACAGCATAACTCCTGACAGCCAGTTGTCTTTAGCTGGCAGAAGTAACATTGATACACGCAGGGGCATACTTTCAAAGGGCATTTATGTGGTTTTGGAATCATTTTTCTATTGTGAATTTTGTAATTGTGTAAAAAAAAAATGAAATGGTTAGATGTTTTTTTTTTTGGGTGGATCTAGATTCGAAGATTGATAGGATGAGGGTGTTGGTTAGGATGTTGGTGGTTAGGATGTTGGTGGTTAGGATGTTGTGGTTGGATGTTGGTGGTTAGGATGTTGGTGGTGATGTTGGTGGTTAGGATGTTGGTGGTTAGGATGTTGGTGGTTAGGATGTTGGTGGTTAGGATGTTGGTGGTTAGGATGTTGGTGGTTAGGATGTTGGTGGTTAGGATGTTGGTGGTTAGGATGTTGGTGTTAGGATGTTGGTGGTTAGGATGTTGATGGTTGAGGATGTTGATGGTGATGGTGTGTTTACTGAAAGCTTGGAAACAGATAATGAGTTTACACAAATTCTCTCTCTTCTCTCTCTCTCTCTCTCTAACTCCTCTCTCTCATTCCCTGCTTGCCCTTCTTCACCTCCTCCTGACCTCCTTTCTTCCTCCTTCCTTCTCCCTCCACTCCACCTAACGTTGTTACAAAATATTTCCAACTTTTATTCTGAACGGATCTCGCTAACTACCTCACCCGGGATAAGAGACGAGGGGGGGGGAGAGGGAGGAGAGGAGGGAGAGAAGAGAGGGAGGAGAGAGGAGAGGAGGGAGAGAGGGAAGACAATACCAAGCCACGAGAGGCATTAAGACTCACCCACCGCCCACAACCACCCGTGATGCCTGACCATGTGGGCGGTGGGTGGTGGGCGGGCAGGATAGGTTACTTAGAGACGGTAAATAATGTGATTTTTTTTTAAGGCATAATAAGATGTAGTTAAGGAGCCATCACCAGGTATGAGGCCATGAGGTATGAGGCCATGAGGTATGAGGCCATGATGTGTGAGGCCATGAGGTATGAGGCCATGAGGTATGAGGCCATGAGGTATGAGGCCATGAGGTATGAGGCCATGAGGTGTGAGGCCATGAGGTGTGAGGCCATGAGGCGTGAGGTGGGTGGTGGAGGCAGGATTAAGTATTAAGCCTAGTTAAGATGTTAAACCTCTTATATAAACCTTAAACCATTTCTTACCCGGACCACTACCAGCCACCCAACACACTTAAACCATCACTTATTAAACCTAACACTTAAACCATCACTTATTAAACCAAACACTTAAACCATCACTTATTAAACCTAACACTTAAACCATCACTTATTAAACCTAACACTTAAACCATCACTTATTAAACCAAACACTTAAACCATCACTTATTAAACCTAACACTTAAACCATCACTTATTAAACCAAACACTTAAACCATCACTTATTAAACCAAACACTTATAAAACTACACACTTATACCTGCACTTAAAAAATCCAACTCACTAGGACACTTATACAGAGAGAGAGAGAGAGAGAGAGAGAGAGAGAGAGAGAGAGAGGTGGAAAGTACCTCAAGGCGACATGCAAAAACACAAGAAAGACACACTTAATACACACACACACACACACAATACCTCTATACTTACAAAATACAAGGAGATACTTTCTCATGAGTAACTTTAGGATGGTAGAGAAGTCACTAATAAAGACCCCAAATAATATGTGTGTGTGTGTGTGTGTGTGTGTGTGTGTGTGTGTGTGTGTGTGTGTGTGTGTGGAGGTTGCAGCTGGAGGGACAGGAGGGGGATTGAGGGGAGGAGAGGGAGGGAGAAGGAAGGAGGGAGGAGAGGGAAGGAGAGAGAAGAGAAGGGTGAGAGGAAGGAAGGTAGGAGGAGAGGGAAGGAGAGAGAAGAGAAGGGTGAGAGGAAGGAAGGTAGGAGGAGAGGGAAGGAGAGAGAATAGAAGGGAGAGAGGAAGAAAAGAGAGAAAGAGAGAGAGAGAGAGAGAGAGAGAGAGAGAGAGAGAGAGAGAGAGAGAGAGAGAGAGAGAGAGAGAGAGAGAGAGAGAGAGAGGGAAGAAGGAAAGAAGGGATCGTTTTATTTACATTGTGAAGGGTATCAGATCCAGTGGAATAATTCAACCCTTCAGAAATACAACCATAATATAGCTCATTCTCTGCTCAAATAACAACAAATAACTATGTAAAAAACTATATGACAATTATTTCACAAAGTTTCTTTATTGCAATTACCTGGACGATGTTGCACTGATTAAAACCAGCATTGATTTGTTGATACCCTGAAGGGTTCCAGATCAATGTGAAAATTTCAACTCTTTACTTGACATTAAAGATATATTAAAACTCTTTCCCATTAGAATAATAACACACAGATGAATAAAAAAATAACATTACCATTATTTCATAACTTTTTTTTTTATTGTAACTACCTGAGCGATGTTGCAAAATGTTGGTTTAACATTAATTAATACCAAATTGAAAAAAGCTTTTTATCGCCCTCGTCCAAATTGCATTATGAATTTTTGTCCTGAGTGAATGTACTTTTCATCTCGTGTTCAAACATATATAGTGTTATGTTTAATGATATCCTCAGTTGGACTTAGGGGAGGGAGGGGAGAGGTTGGCTGCAGGTGAGAGGGGTGAGGGGTGAGAGGGGTGATAGGGTAAGGAGGGGTGAAGGTGAGAGGGGTGGAGGTGAAAGGGATGAAATGAAAGTGAGAGGAGAGGAGGTAACTTGGTCTCTCTCTCTCTCTCTCTCTCTCTCTCTCTCTCTCTCTCTCTATTAAGGACTCCCCGACCCAA